ATTAAACAAAACTTCAGAAAATTGTTAGTCCTATTTTCTGATATGATAGGGTTTGGTCTTAAAAGTCGTAATTCGTATGAGTTTTATGTCATCATTCAGGTTCATGTAATGAAATTTAAAATTCAACAATAAAATCCCTAGATACTGCCCATTTCAACATGAACAGGGTATTTTGACAATTGGGGCAAATTTGCGGAACCGCAAAAATATTATCGTATTCATTCTAATATGAACTCGCCATCAACCGATGGATCCACCTTCGGCCCATTTGAAACGTTAATGCGTTTGTATTGGTTGAAGCTATGTATTTACATTTTTTTTGTTGAACTCGCCTAAACGGATACGTATGGGAGAAACAAGGATTTCCTCTGATCTCCGTTACCTCTTCTCAAAAGTTGTTTTTTTCGTAACCCCCTTTATATACGAACCATAGCACAAACGGTAAACAAAATTCAAAAACGACATTATAAGTATCATCTAGATACGACAGTACACATTTTGGCCAACATAGAAAAAGTTTATGTGCACCGTGCATCAAACGTAATCCTAATCAGATAAATATGATCTATGTCTATATGGTCAATATGTGTTAAATAAAGTGGTTAAATTCGAAAAAGCGTACCATTCAATCATTCACTCATATATTTCTCAAAAAAATATTTCTAAACGCCTTTCTCTTGAAATGGTTGAAATTAATATGTTCAATTTATTTTTTGGGAAAGAAAGTTTTTGGCTTTCTACTACTCCATCACTTTCTTTCCCAAAAATTAATCACTCCTAAAAATATAACCCTTTCAAATTCAATTTATTGTTTTTAACTCATTTTTACTGTAAGTATGAATTGTAATGTTTTTCGATGGCAAAAAAATCAACCATTCAATAAATTGTAGACCCTGAAGAAGCTTCCCATTAGAAGTGAAAGCTTGGCAAAGTAGAAGAAATCAAACTCTGCTTTACTTTGCCAAGCTTTTGCTTCTAATGGGAAGCTTCTTCAGGGCCTATAATTTAATGAGTTATGAACATTTTCGCCATTGAATAGCATTACAAATCATACAGTAAAAATGAGCGGAAAACAATAAATTGAACATATAAATTGACGAGAAAGTTATACATGCATAGGATTTTTTTGTTGGTTTGACATAAATGTCATTTTTCAATGGCTATGATGATTACATAATTTTTGACTCTAAAGAAAGAGTTATTGATTGATTGATACAATTTTCATTATTATTATGTTTTTGATGTAGTTCCAATAAGTTACTGTATATACTGCTGAGATTATCAATGTCAGTTTTCTTATTCATACAATCAGAAGACTTATTAATTTCAACCATTTCAAGAAAAAGGCGTTTCCAAACTAGTAATTTTATTC